TGGACTGCCAAAAGAACGAACAAATCTGTCTTGGAAGAAGTACAACCAGAATGCTCCTTAGAAGCAAGGATGGCGAGACTATGTCTTACATACTTGGGACATGTTGTCAGGAGGGATCAGTTCCTGGAGAAGGACATCATGCTTGGTAACGTACAGGGTCAGCAAAAAAGAGGAAGACCCTCAACAAGATGGATCGACACAGTGGCTCCAACAATGGGCTCAAGCATAACGATTGTGAGGTTGGCGCAGGACTGGGCAGTGTTTTGTTCTGTTGTACACAGGGTCGCTATGAGTCTGAACCAACTCAGTGGCACCTAACAACAACACAGCGTGTTTAGAAGCACACTTTAAATTAAACTGAAGTGGAATGGTTTTCTTTATATTTTGAGAGGAAAAACAAAAAGGATAGCTTTTAGCCCCATAAGACCCACTATGGTCTTCTAACCTCCAGGAGTCAAAGATAATAAATTTGTGTTGTTTTAAGCCACCAAGTTTATAGTACTTTGTCACAGCAGTAATAGGAAATTAATACATATTTATAGCACTCCTTCCTCCTCTTCCCCTTACCATGTCCTCTTCGTATCTAGGCTAAATCCCATTATCTGTTCTGCCACCTTTTGGGAACTTTATTGTTCACTGACTACCTGATCATTTTTGAAATAACCTTCTGATCCTGGATCATCTTCTCTTTATATACTTTCTCAGCCATAACCATGGATTTATGTATTACCATTTATCTGCAGGTAATGCCCAATGTTTATTTAAAGCCCAAATATTGGTCCATATTTGGATATCCAAATGCCCACTCAACATCTCCATCTCACAGGTAACTTTCAACTCACAGGTCCAAAACCGAACCTATTTTTTCCTTGAAACGTTTTCCTAATTCAGTAAGTAGCACCATCAACCCAGCTGCTTAAGCCAGAAATCAGGAGTCTTCTTTGATTCCTTTCTTTTGCTTACTGCATACATACAAACCAATACTGGTCTGCTCATCCACTCCCTTGAACTCCTCTTCAAATCCGGTATCCACATTGTATCTGATGTTATTTTAACTGGGCAACTCTGCCCAATACAATCCCTGCCTGAACCTCAAACTAAATCCTAAAATAGAAAAGTCAGTAGACAATGTCTAAAACAGAAAAATCATGAAGTAACAGTACAGTTAGGCTATTTAGAGACATAGGGGCAGTGGTGGTTCAGTATTAGAATTCTCACCTTCTATGCCAGAGATCCAGGTTCAATTTCCTAGCCAACGCCCTAAGCACAGCCACCACTCATCTGTCCATGGAGGCTTGTATTGCTGTGACACTGAACAGGTTTCAGGAGAGCTTCCAGACTAAGGGAGACTAGAAGGAAAGGACTGGCAATCTACTTCTTCTGAAAATCAGCCAAAAAAAGCCCCATGGATCACAACGGTCAGATCCACAATTGATCGTGGCAGGACAGGGCAGCATTTCATTCCACTGTGCCTGGGGATGCTGTGAGTTGGGGGCTGATCCCATGGCAGCTTACAACAATTTAGAGGCATAGAATACCCAATATAATTAGCTAAAAGAGGTGTATGTAGTTGCCCTGGGGAAGAAGGTTAAGGACTGGGGAAGAAGGTTAAGGACTGTCCTCCTCCCCAAACTTGGAGAACTATCAACTTAAAAAATATAACACAGTTTTCCTTTGGTGTTATTACATATACACAGCATCAAGCAGTAACACTGTCTTTCACAGTTTGCTTGGCATAATGTCTCTTTAGCACAATTAGCAATTATTCTGGTCCAAAACAAAAGGAACCCAATATAATTTAGCTTGTAACGACCAAAATATTAAAATAGTCTTACCAATGATTGTAGGTTTGCAGCAAAAAGTGGGATAAGAAAAATAAAAACCCAATTTTTCTCAATTGATATATTTATTAAAAATATAGACTCACGGTCCTGTGCTCAAACATCATTGTGGTTACGTGCTGACTTCCATAAAATATAACTATCATAATTGTAAGGGACTTTTCACAAATACACTCTGGACAGAAATAAAAAGGTAAACAGAAATGACTGCCAGGACAGTACAATTTCAAATACAATTCTCTTATAATTAATACTTGCTAGAAAATGAAGTTTGACATTATTTACAATTATACCAACATTCATGGAGGCTGAATATCACATACATAAGGGCACAATACGACCACAAGAAATCTTTTCATACTTTCCAAACAGTTTTATATTTTAGCTATGAAGGTCAGTCACCAGAGCAAACTTGTTCTTAACAAGTAGAATTTTTAGGTCCATTCAAAGAGTCTCTTAGATCTTTCTGGGTCTACTCATTTGCAGATGGGAGCAGATACCGGAACCAGGTTCTTCTTATCAGGAATTCACACGTGATGCCAAATCTTCATATGCTATCTAATTTCTTTAAGATAAAAGGAGCTAAAAAAACAAACAAACAAATAAACCCAAAATTAGTTTTCAGTTCTATTAGTTACAAGTTACTTTAGAGGATTATAAGATTAGGGGGAAACCTCACAGGTATAGTTCAACAATTGTTTTTAAAACGACTCCAAGTGATGCTCAAGCCTTTGCATGCACAACCCAGCCAAGGACATTCATGCCTCCCAAGGCAGTTCATTCCAGTGTCATCCTACTATGACTATTATAAAGTTCATTCTCACACTACATAAAACCTTTTCTCCATGTTTCTCCTCAAGGCCATAAAGAGTAAATCCAATCCTCTTCAAATGACAAACTTTTACATGTTTTGATGATTTTTTTTTTTAAACTATCAAAGGAACAAAACTACAGCAAACAAATGGATATTTTTCACCTTTAAAAACTCATTTACAGAAAGCACAGGGTGTGGAAAAACAACACAAAACTAGGGAACCAGAAGAGTTGGACTCATATTTTGGTATTCCTACTGATTAGCTATATATCACTTATGTGCTCCAGTTTACATCAGAAACAGCCCTACCTCAGTTGTTATGAGATCTGTTAAAACGGTGTATGTAGAAATGTCTAGGAAACTAGAAAGTATCTTATGAAACTAAAAAACTCATGTTATTATCCTTGTAAAAATGCTGTGGCCAAGAAAGCTGACAGAATGACCTTCTTTCTCAAAACTCATACCAAATTAATACATTTTATACTAAAGATATTGATCTGTCACAGCTGACAAAGTCAACATTATGTCCAGTCTTCTCTATTAATTCTTAATTAGGAAAATAAAAAATGAACAGTAATGTCCGTCAAGTGATAAACAAAACGTGTTATTCCATACAATGGAATGTTATTCACCCATAGAAAAGAGTGAAGTACTTATACATGCTACAACATAAACCTTAAAATCATGCTGGGTGAAAGAAGCCAGACACAAAAGGCCACATACTGTATGATTCTATTTATATGAAAAGTTCAGGATAAGCAAATCCACAGACAGAAAGTAGATCAGTGGTAGCCAGGAGCTGGAGGGTTTGAGGGAGAACAGGGAGTGATTGCCAATGGTTTTTTTGAGGTAGGAAAATTTCTAGATTCGGACAGTGGTCATGGCTGCACAACCTTGTGAATACACTGAAAACCACTGAATTGGGCACTTAAAAAAAAAGTGAGGATACAGAAAAAGTTTTTTTTAATTTTTTTGTTGTAAAAATTTTCGTAAAAATGCCAAATCATATAAATATGAAGGTCATTCAGAAGGAGCAAATATTTTACTGGCAGCTAGGTCAAAACAAAAAAGATAAGTCCAGGAAAAAAGTACACTTGGGAGTTGCAAAGACTGTTTAACTAGCAGGATGATTTGGGAGTTTGTTTCCCTTCGGTTTCCCACTGCAGGGAAAGCAGAGTTAATAGCATAGAAAGTGAAAAGGGCATTGAATGAGGGAGACCTTGGCCTAAGTGGGGGCCCTGGTGGCGCAGTGGTTAAGCGTTTGGCTGCTAACCAAAAAGGTCAGCAGTTCAAATCCACCAGCCACTCCTTGCAAACCCTATGGGACAGTTCCACGCTGTCCTATAGGGTGGCTAGGAGTCGGAATCGACAGCAACGGGTTTGGTTGCATTTAAGCAATGAAAACGATACTTGAAGTGACGAGAATGAGGAAACCTGGGGCAAGTTACTTCTGAAACTCCTATCAGTAAAAGGAGAAAACCGATCTATAAAGCTGCTTCCAGCTCTAACATTCAGTGTGCCTGTAACCCTGGGGGGGATACCTTGTATAAGTGCCCTCTGAAAGTCGAGTACTCGTTTGCAAAAGGAGTATAATAATCTTTGGCCCAGCTTCCCTCAAAGGGCTACTGTCAAGACCAAGTAATGGAAGTAACTTTCTGTCATCTGTAAAATGAAATAAAACCTCAGGTATTACTATTAATCCTATAGACTCACATCCTCCTCATTCTTTCAAGGGGAAAAAAAAGCAACTATTTCTTCATCTGCTGTACAAATAAACAGAAAGGGAGCAAAACCTCTTGGATTTTAAAAGTCAGCACTGATGGAAAGAAACCTGGTATGCAGTTAAGAACCCTAGACTCTAGATCAAGATTATTTACTCAATCGCTGAATGACCTTGAGCCAGTTACTTCTCTACTGTGGAACGCAGTTTCTTTGCAAAATGAGAAAGGTGCTCTGGGGTATAATCTTTGAGGCTCTTTCAATTCTGACGCTCTAAAACCTGGGTAACACAGAATGATTACCCAATGCAGGCCCAGCCACCGCGTGCACTTCTGCATCTCCACCCCGGCCAGCCGACCCTAGGTTGCGCATGCATCAGCCGCGGTCGGAGCTTACACCCCTCAGTCCCCTCCGCAAGAGGCCCGCAGCCTCTCCTCCTCCGTCTGCCAGACGGCTCAGATCAGCTCCTCAAGGGCCCCCAGCAGCGTGTAGGGCAGGGGTGGGGTGGACGGTGTTGGCGAGCTCCCTGCCGATCTCGCGGTCACGGCCTGGAGGAACACTCACTGACTCGCAGCAGGGCCACGTAGATGAGAAAGTTCCGTATGGACGAGATCACGTCCTCGCGCATCTTCCGTTTCATTTCCTCTGGGTCCAGCTTCGGAGCGAGGCCTTCGATCCGGAACATCGCAGCTCTGCCTTACGAGCTTCCAGGGGCAGGGCTCTCCCCGGTGCCTTGTTAGCACACGGAACTCGGCTCAATCCCACTTCCTGTTCCCGCCCCCTCATTCATGCGCAAGACGACGGGAGGTTGCGAGGGACAATCCTCATCCTGGCCGAGTGGTTCTGAAGAATGACGGCCTGAAGGGGGCGGCCGCAACCTTAGGGACGCAGGACTCAGCTTTTTCCAGGCAGTTTAATAACCTCACCAGGCGCGTAACGTTGCAAAGTGCTTTTATACCCCGGAAGGGCGGGACACATAAGTTGCAAGGTTGGTGCTCATAGGTATTACCAAAAATAATAATAGCTAACATTTATTGAGTACTCAGCCCTCTCGCTTTACGTTATTGTGTCATTTTATCCCATTCCACTCCATGAATTAGATATTTTAATTTCCATTTTCCTAGATGAGCAAGCTGAAGCACAAAGATGTTAAAACAACAAAACTTGTCCAAATGTGCCTTAAAATACCTCAAGGAAAAAAAAAGTGTTGGGGAAAGAGAGATGAAACAATGTTAGGAAAATATTGGAACCTGCTTAAACTGGTGATTAGTACGTTATTTCAGTTAATTATTCTAGACTTTCTATTTTGAGTATGTTTGAAATCTTCCATGAAAGTTAAAACGAAAAGACCAAGAGGATGAAACATGCCCAAGATCACACAACCAGTAAAATGGCAGAGCAGGATTTTATACGTAGTTAGTCCTGTGGGACCCTGGATACAATGTTTTTAACCTTTTCAGTATTATGCTGTATTTTTATTTCTGCGGTTCAGTGATCCTTACAAATCATAATTTGGCCCGGTAATACAGCATGTGTAAAGCACCTTCAAATTTATTCAACATTTTACAGATGAGGAAAGGGAGACTCAGAGACTTGAGTGCACAGCCCAAAGTCACTCTGCTAATGAGTGGCAGACTGAGGGTTCTAACTCAGATGGTTGTAAAGGCAAGTTGAATCTCTTTCCCTGCACTCTAATGCTTCCCTGTAGTATTTAACAGTTAGTGCTTGCATAGATGGGCATCCCTGGAGTCAGAAGGTAGGGGTTTAATGCAACCAGGAGATTTCCTGTCATGGAATCATCAAAACAATGTTAGTAGGCTGCTGCCGCAAATTGTGCATGCCAACCAGCCATATATTATTCTTAGACGTGAACCAGATGACTGAATTGCTCACATAATTCAAAACCAGAATGTTCCTTCTTGGTTGCACATTGCATAGCAACAATGGATTTTGGAGAAATTAGAACAGTAATTTACTATAGGAGCAACTAATAACTACAAGCATTTCCATCCATCTTCCTAATTTACAGAATCTTAAAAAAAATACTAACTAAAAAAAATTAAGAAAGGGAACTCAACTGCATATTCAGGCTTTAGTAATTTCTTGCATGTATAATTCATGCCCTGGAATAGCAGAGGCAGCTCTGGAATGGCAGGGGCTGACTTCCAAGGAATAGCTATCAGCCAGTCCTTCATGAGTGTTTGGAAAGCCTGCACTGGAAAGCAGTAGGGGCCATGGAAAGAATCTGGACAGGAAGACTGGAGACACAGCCTCTAGATCTGGCACTGCTCCTAACTAGTCACGTGACAAGGGACAAGTCTGTTTCATTGCAACTCTGTTTCTTTAGTTGTAAAGCGAGGGGATATGATTAGATGCTCTTGAAAGCCCCTTCCAGTTCTAACAGTCTATGTGTTTTGAGTTCTAATTGTGTCATCTTGGAGGTTCTGGTCTGGAGTGCGTGGATATAAAAATATTATCAAATGTAGTCAGACATCAAAACAGCAAGTATGTTCCATGATAGGAAGAGTAGTAACAATAAGGCATAGTTCCTCCATCTGAACTGTGAGGCAAAACGGATTGGGAAGGAATAAATTTGTCCTTATTGTGTGATACCAGCAACGTAGACCTCTAATGCTGACTGAGTTTAGATCATCAGTTTACATATGGAACTATCAATTGTTTTTCATTACTGAGATGCTTTAGGGTAACTTGCCTGGATTTGTAGGGGAGAAGCTAGCAAAAAATCATGTTTCTTAGTGAAAAGAACGGCAGGTTTTTAGCACTTGAATGTAATTTATCCAATGCCATATTAAAGCAGCACTGTTTACTGGGTAGGTGATACAGTGGCAAATGGCTAGCCTGTTAAAGGACAACATTATTCTCATAACAATCCTCTTAGAAAGATCTGGTGCTTTTGTGCCTGGATGGAGGCAGGAAGGTAGTGAATGGAAATATGGAGTAGTTATGTGTTGGGGTGAGGAATTGGTTCTGGATAGTCTAGGTGAGCAAACTGTCCCTGTCTCAGAAATGTTCATCCTGATGATCTCTGTCTTCACCCTGCATAATTTCTTTGTTTGTAATGGATGAAATCTATTAAAAGAGGTTAGACTCCTTTCTTTGTTTTTTTTTCTTTTAGTACCTTTTTTTTTTTTTTTGACATGTAGATGGTGGTGTTGTCTAATTACAATGGTTTGAGTGAGGCATATTTAGAGAACATGGAAGTCAACCTTGGAGTAAGCTGTTTCATATTCATATCTCGGTCCTCTCATTGTTTTCCTCATTGGGATGACGAGGGGTTTGGGTCTAATCTTTAGAGTCTCTTGCAGCTCTAAAATGCTGTAATTCTGTGTTCATCTTTTCTGTTCTTTCTCAATGACTTTGAACTAAAGCTAAAAGGAAAGAATTCACTGTGATTTTCTGTGAAAGGCAAAATTAAAAGTATGCACGCATAATTTAATATTCATATTTATATTATTTAGTCTGATCACAGAGGAAATGGTATCTGTTAGAGTAGTCTATCTTGTTTTCCATTTTGACCCCAGGAGGGATTTAGGAGCCATTTCCTTTGCCTCGACTTCCCAATCAGTATTGCACACAAGCATTCAGTGTGTACAGTCTACCCATAAGAGAATTAAGTGTTGTAATTCCTATTACCGGGAGGAATTTGTATTTGCAAGGTCAGAGATGGACAGATGACTCATGGTTGGGAGTAAATCCAGTTAAATCACAGGACCCCTGTGGCTCCTAATTCACTGGGAGCTGTAGACTTCAGGTATTGAGCAGTTAACCCTTTCATTTGACAGATGAGGAAACTGAAGCCCAGAGGGAAGCTAGTTAGAGGCAGAGGTAGCTGGGTCTCGGATAGGTCTCTGGGCTCCCCATCCAGCACCTTTTCTGATCATATGTTGCTGCTTTCAGTACTTTAACCATGAATATCCTCATTGGCAATCATCCTCTCAGAGGTAAGAATTGGAAAAATGGAGTGTTGTTCAATCCTGGTTTGGGAGGGACGGGATAAGGGATAGCTGCTGCTTATCAACAGGCTGAGGGGCAGCTCTTCTTTCCATGTTTCCACACCCATCACCAGTTGTCAGTCTGAACTGTGTTATTACCCAGCTCCACATCTCTGCTTCCTCATTCCTTTAGGAGATGAACAGGGTCTGTAATTCCCAACATAAACTCAGCTTTGGAGTCTACTGAGGAGCCCTGGTAGGCTAGTGGTTAAGCATTCAGCTGCTAACTGAAAGGTCAGTGGTTCGAACCACCAGCCACTCCTTGGGAGAAAGATGTGGCAGTCTGCTTTCATAAAGATTACAGCGTTGCATATTCTATGGGGCAGTTCTACTCTGTCCTATAGGGTCGCTATGAGTCAGAATCGACTTGATGGCAACAGGTTGGAGTCCACTCAGGACCCAAGATTAATGAAACAAAGATCAGGACAAAGGAAAGACACTTGAACTCTCAGGAAGGGTTGCTCTGTGATAGGGGTTAGCCAGAGTCCACACCCAGCAGATGGGATAACTTAGTACCGGAAACTACTGTCTCACAAGAGGCAGCTTCAGGAAGAGAGATGTTTTGAACCTAAAAGATGGAGTAGACTTTTGATAATCCTCACCTCACTGGTATTTGCTTTCTGCAATACCTTGTTCCCTGTTCTTATTTTTAGGACTTTGTTGTCTAGATGATTCACAAGTGTATGATCTCTCTCCAACTGGACTAAGGAACATGTCCTCACTCATTCTTAATGCTCCTAACACTGAACACAGGTATTTATATATGGTAGATGCTCAGGAAATACCCTTTGAGTGAATGAATGAACTTAGTATCTGCTAACCTTCAAAATTCATAATCAGTAGCTTTGTGTATTAGGTTGAAAGGAAATTGTCCCCAAAATATATGTACTCAAAGTTCTGCATTCTTTTTTTATATAGTTACTTATTCTGTCACTGTCTTAATGCAACTTGTTTTTGTTTGGTTAAACAAAATTATTTAGATAATTTTAATGCATCATAGGTAAAGTTAAAGAATGAACTTTGAAATTTATTTGCCTTCACTTATTTATAGCAGTATAGTAATATAAAACCCATATTATTGTTATACGTTTAATAACTTGCTTTTTCACAAAAAGTACATGATTATTATTATAAAATTTAGAAAATACAGAATTAAAAGAGAAAAAAGAAAATAACAATCCCCCGTAATCTCACAACCACTATTGACACATTGATGATAATCCTTTCAGCCTTTCTTCTATTCGTATACATGTGTAGGTGTCTGTCTCTGTCTCTCTCTCTATGTGTATATATACACTCTCACACATTTATATATGTATTTTTTTTTTAAATTGAGTATATAGTATATGCTATTTTAACTTGTAGTTTTCATTTAAGTTATATTTACTATCTCCCTATATCTTTAAATATTCTTCTAAACATCATTAGTAATGGCTGCACTGGCATTCCATTATATGGATGTACCATAATTTATTTAACTAAAACTTTATGCTTGGGTATTTAGGTTGCTTCCATGTTTCCCCTATAAATAATATTTCAGGGAACATCCTTATAACACTATTTTTGTGCACACTTTATATTTTTGTCTGATTATTATTATTATTATTTTAAATTCAGAGATATCACTTTTTCCCATTGACCCTCTTTTTTTCTGAGGAAAAAGGCACATTTTGGTCAAGAGAGTAGGTGTTAGATTTCGAGGCCTTTTGGAACTACGAACAAGGGGATAAGGATTTTGTTTTATAAG